TGCAATCAGACTCGTCTTATTCACACTTTTCATGTGTGTAAACAGCAGCACAGCACACTGGCGACATGCGCCCACACAGAACTCAGAGATATGGCTTCCAGATACGAGTTTACTTTCAACTGGCTATGGCGACTTAGCGCCCAAACAACTCACTGTTCACACACTGGATCACCCTGGATATCCCATACGCATCACTCTGAACACTCACGCAACACACACACACACACTTCCCACTGACTACAGCTATGGCAGCTATGGCTGCCTCTAACCTATCGCTATGGCTGTACTTCGTCTCCCTCGCCCACTTCTGCTTCGGGCTTCCAGCAGACCTCCTTGCACAAGACGCTGAGACAGCGCTTCCGCATGGCTTCCGCATGAATGAATGAAAGGCTGGGCGCTGCCTCTTGATTTATACTTCTGCAGGTTGGTCTGGCCCATTTCCCTTGCCCAAAGTGCACACAGTCCCATGCGGTACTTGCTGGACTGACTGAGAGCTGGGACTGTTGACTCAGCAGGGTAGACTTCTACCACTTGCCCACTTGCCTCACCACTTGACCACTTGCCTCTGCTTAAACGTGGGCAACTTCGAAAGGCCACTACTGTGACCTTCCGGAAGGCAGTAGACTTGGCCTTTCGTGACTGTAGCAGCTACAATTCTGACCCTTCTGGACTGTAGCAGCTATGACCTTGACCTTTCAAGAAAACTACAGCTACGATGTCTAGACCTGACTAAGTCTCCTATCCGACAGGTCTACAGATCGAACCCATGCTACCTATGGACCCTACGACAACCTATCAGCTATTACAAATACACAGGTCATGGGTTCAATTCTACGGGTCAACACAGGTACTGTACACAGGTAAGCCTGCCGTCCTAAATTCGAGGTCCTCTAAGAACAATTCAGTCCAAGGCAGGTCCTTTACCTTTCTGTTCTCTTTCGTAGGCTCTAACTATATCGGGAGCTGTCTCTAGAAGTTCTGATCTCGTAAACCAGCGGTCATCCTCCGGCTCCTGATATGCAAACCGGACCTTATACTGTTTCTGCGGACGACCTCTACCTCCTGTTCTGAAGACATCTTCACCTACAATGCCGTCAATGTCATAGCTTCCATCCATATCCGGGGGGATCATGGATCGTCTTGAAGGGAACTGTTGACTTGTGACACACGGCAACAGTTTTGAAGCATGGAATACCAGGTAGGTGTGGAGGTGAACTGGAATCTCTACGGTGTAGGACGGTCCATCCTCTCCGCCCATGACTTCTAGAACCGGCCACGGTCCTCTATATGCAGGCAGTAACTTCTGAGAGATGTTTTCTTCAGGTGCAAACTCTTTTGCCTTGACCCAGACGAAGTCGCCTACTTGAAACTGTGATGGGCGACGGTGCTTGTTAGCTTGTTCTACCATCCTATGCTGGACCTTCCTAAGGTTATCAACAACAGTTGCTAATTCTTTCTCATGCTGTATCGCAAACTCCCTGGTTCCGGGCGGTAGTCTGTGAATCTGATCCCGGTTCAGTCCTTCGAATGGTCTGCGGGGTCTAAAGGATTTGTGCAGTTCGTTGGGAGTGCGGCAGGTGGATAGATGCACGTTGTTGTTGTACGCACTAGCTACTTTAGGCAACATCTCATCCCAGTTGACCTGATCTGGTCTAATGTACATGCGCAGAACTTGCTGTAGGATCTTGTTCATCTGTTCCGTTTGACCGTTGGTCTCAGGATGGCGGCCAGACGACATCAACAACTTAGACCCATATACTCTCATGAGTTCTTACCAGTTCTGGCTGGTGAAGCGACTATCTCTATCGCTGACTATTGACAATGGGATTCCATTCTCACTAACCCAAAAGTCAAAGAACTTCCGTATCACTAAATTTGTACGTGCCTCTGCAGGCAAAGGAACAAAAATTGCGTACTTACTAAACCGGTCAACTATGACTATGACTTGGCTCTTACCATGTCTACTCTTGACTTGGGTGTCCATAAAGTCTATGGACACTGCGTCTCCCGGCTGATCCGGAATAGGCAAGGGTTTGAGAAGACCAAGCGGGGCGCGCATAGTAGTCTTATTACGGTGGCATACTTTAGAACTGCGAACATACTCTATGCAGTCATTCTTCATCCCTGGCCAGGTATACCTACGCATCAGGTTGGCTAGAGTCTTTTGCCAACCGAAGTGTCCCTCAGTGTCGTGGCATTCCCCTAAGATCAAACTGCGGATCTCTTTGCTGTTGGGAACGCACAGGCGGTCAAACACATTAGTCTTCTCAAACAGCAACCCGTCGGTAGTGCGATAATCTGGTTCAGTCTCTGGGGCCTCGCTAACTCTATTTAGGAGGTCGCTATAGATAGGGTCTTGCGCATATGCTTGCTTCATTTTCTCCTGCAGGTCTCTCCCTATATCCCGATAGTGTACTACGGCTCCAAAGTAGTCTGATCTCCTACTCAGAGCATCCGCAACTACGTTGTACTTGCCCTTCACTGGCTTGAGCTGAAAGTCGAATTGGTCTATCTCTGCGGCCCACCTAGTCAACTTAGGTGTCATCTTGGCCTGAGTCTTTAACCATCTAAGCGTTTCATGGTCAGAATACACTTTGAAGTGCCTCCCAAGCAGGTAGTGCTTCCAATGGTCTAAAGCCTGCCTGAGAGCGTAGAGTTCTCTCTCGTACGTGGAGGTAGCGACCTTCTCACAGGGCATCCTCGCTGACATGAACTCTACGGGTGTATAGCCATTGCCGTCGTCTTGCTGCAACACGGCGCCTATCCCATACCGATTCGCGTTCGTGGTGACGACAAATGGCAAAGACGGATCTGCAACTTTGAGGACAGGATACTCTATTAACGCGCGCTTTAACTTCTTGAGCGCAGACGTACAGTCTTTGTCCCATTGCCAGATTGCCTCTTTCTTCAGTAATCTGTGCAAGGGAGCGGCGATAGTGGAGAAGTTCCTTACGAACTTCCTATAGTAGTTAGTTAGGCCTAGGAACGACCGCAACTCTGTCAATGTGCGGGGCGTCGGCCAATCTCTAATCGCCGCTATCTTACTGTCCTCTGGCTTAATGCCATTTTCGTCTAATACGTGGCCCAAGTACAAGACTTGTGTCTTGGCCCACTCGCACTTCTTCTCGTTGATCTTGAAGTTAGCCTCTCGTAGCTTCTCCAAAACCTGCCTCAGATGACCCTGATGTTCCTGGAGGGTCTTACTAAAAATTAGGATGTCATCTAAATAGACTACGACAAACCCGTCTAATCAGGGTCTGAATAGATCATTCATACAACGCTGAAATGTGGTTGGCGCGTTGGTTAGTCCAAAGGGCATCACTATAAACTCATAGTGCCCATATTTAGTCCGAAGGCAGTCTTGTACTGATCATCAAGGTGGACTTCGATTTGATGATAACCGAACTTCAAATCAATCTTAGTGAAATACTTACATCCCTGCACCCGATCTAGAAGATCGTCTATCCAGGGCAGTGGCTCAGCATTCTTCACAGTGATCGCATTCAAACCCCTATAGTCTATACACATTCTAAGCTCTCCTTCCGTTGATCCCTATACCCTAACCTTACCTGTGTACAGTACCTGTGTTGACCCGTAGAATTCAACCCGCGACCTGTGTATTTGTAATAGCTGATAGGTTGTTGTAGGGTCCATAGGTAGCATGGGTTCGATCTGTAGACCTGGACTGTGGCAGCTACGACCTTGACTTTTCAAGAAAACTACAGCTACGATGTCTAGACCTGACTGGTCAGAATCGTAGCTGCTACAGTCACGAAAGGCCAAGTCTACGGCTTTCCGGAAGGTCCCAGTAGTGGCCTTTCGAAGTTGCCCACGTTTAAGCAGAGGCAAGTGGTCAAGTGGTGAGGCAAGTGGGCAAGTGGTCAAGTGGTGAGGCAAGTGGGCAAGTGGTAGAAGTCTACCCTGCTGAGTCAACAGTCCCAGTTCCCAGTCAGTTCAGCAAGTACCGCACAGGACTGTGTGCACTTTGGGCAAGGGAAATGGGCCAGACCAACGACCTGCAGAAGTATAAATCAAGAGGCAGCGCCCAGCCTTTTATTCATTCATGCGGAAGCCATGCGGAAGCGCTGTCTCAGCGTCTTGTGCAAGGAGGTCTGCTGGAAGCCCGAAGCAGAAGTGGGCGAGGGAGACAAAGTACAGCCATAGCGATAGGTTAGAGGCAGCCATAGCTGCCATAGCTGTAGTCAATAGGAAGTGTGTGTGTGTGTTGTGTGAGTGTTCAGAGTGATGCGTATGGGATATCCAAGGTGATCCAGTGTGTGAATAG